CCCCCTCCCCCGCGCAGCGGCCACAAACTCACTGATGCGCCTACAGCCTCTCAGAGTTCCTGCTGATCTAAACATTGAAAGAATCATTTAATTTTCTGTTCCACACTTTGATTACCTTCAGTGGTGTCTGTTTGTAGCAACCACCAGGTACAAAAACGAACTTGTTTTTATTTGACAATTTTTCTGTCCTGTCTCTGTTTATAATGGGCCATTCCCATCTGTACCTGGTCGGCCCAGCCCAGATAGCATAGCTTGCTTACATATCTTGGTGGCCTGCCTTGCAACGAGACTGTTTTTCAGCCCTCTTTCTGAGGTGGTCTGCTTCAGCCTGACCAGTGCCAACACACCCACTGTTGACTGATAAGCCGGCTTTTCAGTCAGCAAATTCACACCTTCCATTAGAGCAAGCCTCTGATTGGTGGGTAGAATCAGCCCACGTGGGCTTAAGGCATGCTCAATTCATTATCGTTCATTATTATGCTGATTAGCTAGAAGCTGAAAATGTCTCTGACTGCATTCCTTGCATACCTAAGCAAGGATATGTGTGGAATAAACCGGGCCAGGCTGGGGCTGACTGGAGCTATCCGGGCAGGGCCAACCAGGTACAGATGGAGATGGCACATTATCTTCCTGCATCTCCTCTCAGTCCTAAAGAAAAACTGCTACCTGCCTTCTTATACATTCACCTTATGAGTTACCTTTGAACTGCAGTTAAAAAAGATCTACCGACCACAAATATAGCGGAGTGCGCACCACACGCCGGCCGCACCGGTGAGGTGAAGTCACCGGAGGACGAAACAGGTTATGCGCTCCGCTCTGCAGCAGCAAAACGCATCAGGCACAAATAAAAGACAGAAAACATGAAAGGATATGAGCCGACATAAACAATTGCGTGTTAAATTTGTTTTTGAGGTGGCGACACTTTGAGAATGTTACTGTGGCCGTGCTCAGGATGCATCTGTTTAGAGCTCTGCGCCTCTCATTTCTAAATAATCCCAGCAGAAACCACATGAATAATGTAATATAAATAGAACCATGATCGTTTACGGGCTGACAAATAGTCTACAGTCCATCTTCCCTAATGTGTTTGTGGCCCTGCAGATTTTTCTAACTCTACCTGCACTTCTTATGTGTACCTTTCACTGTTCATAAGGGTACCGCACCATCAGCTACATCAGCTCAGACAAGGGCAGCGCAAATAGAGAAGGAATAGAGGATAATTCTGTCTGGAGGTGGATGGAGATTACATTTTACAGCAGCCTGATCATCATTTAAATACATAAACCATCACCTGTCTTCTAGTCCACGCCATCAGCATTATTTTAACTGGTATGTGAGCATTTGTGTTTGTGTGTGTGTGTGTGAGTGCTTTCTACTTCAAACACTGGTCTAACCCCAAAATTCCACTACCTCCGCTCCGCCCCCGCCGTCCGCAGCCGCTCGCTTCCGAACTCAATGTTTACTGGTACCCGCTCTACAACAGCTCCGCTCCGGTGCGGAGACCTGAGGTGCGCAAACAGGCATGCGCGGGATTTTCGAGATCTTGCGATACAGTCCGAGCAATAAACGCGGAAGTTCGATCCAAACACCAGTTGTGTGGGAGAAGCATCGAAATGAACTGTTTAATCTGCCCATCATTTGTGTTGAGAGATCAGCAGTGTTTGGATCAACAAAGTGTGACTACTTTGATAGTGGAAACTGTATTTATGGCTTATTTTTGTGCATTTAAAGTTCAGCTGCCATTGATAGTTGTTAAAAGTTGTTAAACCTGTGCATATGAAACAAAAAACGCTTTTTGTTTATTGTGAAATCACAGAAGTTGTGCTTGCTCCCTTTCCTGTTGGATGGTTGTGATTTCTGTCCACTGACTGCGGAGGTGCTCCGGCATCCGGCAAAAATAGAATCAATCCTATTTTTGCAGGATGGCGGAACGGCGGGCGGCGCACTGCGCCACACGGCCACAGTAGTGGCACAGCTCTGATTGACTACAACGGGACCGATTTTGCGGCGGAGTTCGTGCCGGAGCGCAGCGGAGCGGAGGTAGTGGAATTTTGGGGTAACCAACCAGACCAGCGTGTCCAGTAACATATTAATGTTACAATTAAACAGTTTCACTTCATGTAGGCTAGGAACATTTCACCTGCCGTGGCCCGACCGCTTCCGCTCCACAAAAACTTTGTGCGTGATCAAATGTCTCTACAGGTGCTTTCTGAGCTGAAGAGGCTATTCTGCCTCAGACTGGATGCGTCATGCGTCTCCATATTAGAGACGGGAACAAGCGCTATTCAGCCAAAGTTTCATAATCAGAGAACATTTTTCCAAGTGACATCCCTCAGAGAGACAGGGTTTCCAGACCATTTCAGTGGGAGGAAATCTTACCGCTTGCACCGTGGGTCTGCGCTGCGCTGCGAACCCCTCTACAGATCTTCAGCTCTCTGTCCACCGTGTGCGCAGCGAGCTGCGCTGAGCACAGTGTCCAGTACAAAGCTCTGATGTTCTGATGGGAATCTTTTCTTGATTGATTTAGTTACCTCCGCGATGTGCGTAATGATTTAAATGTCAGCTCATCTGTGTGCGCATCAGTGTGCGTCGGGGTAATTCTTTCATAACAACCAACATCCTTGAGTTTATCCATCAAAATAAACAGTCAAATGGAAATATCTGTAACCTGCCATTTAACTGTTTTGCCTTCTTGTGAAGATTGTTGCAAAGAGAAAATATTTAACTTGATTAACCCCAGAGCCATGCGCACTGCGCTGTACTTCGTGACTGTAAATGAGGGAAAAAATGACTTTATCTAATCCTTTTCTTACCTTTTCAACATGGTTTAATGTAAAGTTTCATTCAGTAAAAACTTTAGTTGCACCAATCTAACGAGACAGAGCCTGGATTTGTATTCTGAACAGTTTAAACATGTTTAAAACGGAGACATGCGTGACGTGTGTAAAGTTCGCACCTGCTCAATTATGGAAATTAAACTAACAAGATGAATAACATTGTCACGGTGAGAGTAGGAGGTTTAGGACCCAAGATGCAGAATCCCCAGAACGACTCAAGGCAGGAGAGGTTTGAGAAAATACTTCCTTTATTTTAAAGGCGGATGCGCCAAACAAAACGAACCCGACTTAATAACAAACTCGCTGGACGAACAAACAAACAGAAGCTCACTCATGAGCACGAACTAGGGTGACTAGAGGAGGACAGAACACGCTGACAATTATAATGAACCAACAAACACAAAGTTACAAGACAAGGCTTTTAAACACAGAGGGAGGTATTCAGGGAAACAGGCAACAGGTGTGAGGAGTGTGAGCTGAGGAGAAACTGGTGGAATCAATTAACTAAATGGGAAAGGAAAGAGCTTGGCAGGAGGACAGATAAACTTTAACCTTCAAAACATGGATCTAACTAATAACCAGATGGGTGAAGAGGACTAATCTAAAGACAACTACGAAAACCAGTGAGTGACTAGTGGGCCATTCCCATCTGTACCGGGTCGGCCCGGGCCGGGTAGCGTAGATTGTTTACATATCTGGGTGGCCTGGTATTTTTCCAGGCCAACCAAGGCTCGTTCTCAGCCCTCTTCTCGAGGGGGTTTGCTTCAGGCCGACCAGGGCCAACACACCCACTGCTGACAGCAAATTCACACCTTCTATTAGAGCAAGCCTCTGATTGGTGGGTAGAATCAGCCCACATGGGCTTAAGACAAGGATGTGTGGAATCAACCGGGCCAGGCTGGGGCCGACTGGGGCTACCCGGCCCGGGCCGACCCGGTACAGATGGGAATGGCCCATAGGAGGACACAAGAGGAGAGCCTGGAGTGGGAACAGGAGGGGGCTGGGAAACAAAGGGACACAGAACATGACAAACATAATTATTTTAGGCACAGACAACATCCCCCACACTTTTGAAAAGCTTGCAACGCGCCTGCTACCAGTTACAAATTGTGAAGGGGAACATTTTTCACAAATGGCAAGAATAAAAAATGAACTGAGAGCAACACAAACTCAACAGCACCTCAGTGCACTGTCACTGATAGCTATTGAATCTCAGCTTGTCAGGAATCTGGACTTTGATGACACTGTAAATTAATTTACTAATAGAAAGGCCAGAAAGCAGTTTTTCTGAAGGCAAGAGAGGAGACCAACTAGAGGAAACAAAAAGAAGAGGAAGGAGCCAGGAGTCAAGAGGATGAAGGAGACAGGAGACCAGATGAGGAAGGAGACAGGAGACAAGAGGAGGAAGGAGACAGCAGACAAGAAGAGGAAGGAGACAGCAGACAAGAGGAGGAAGGAGACAGAAGACAAGAGGAGGAAGGAACAGGAGACAAGAGGAGGAAGGAAACAGGAGGCAAGATGAGGAAGGAGACAAGAGGAGGAAGGAGACAGGAGATAAGAGGAGGAAGGAAACAGGAGGCAAGAGGAGGAAGGAGACAGGTAAGAAGATGAGGAAGGAAACAGGAGGCAAGAGGAGGAAGGAGACAGGTAAGAAGATGAGGAAGGAAACAGGACTCAAGAGGAGGAAGGAAACAGGAGACAAGAGAAGGAAGGAGACAGGAGACAAGATGAGGAAGGAAACAGGAGGCAAGAGGAGGAAGGAGACAGGTAAAAAGATGAGGAAGGAAACAGGAGGCAAGAGGAGGAAGGAGACAGGTAAAAAGATGAGGAAGGAAACAGGACTCAAGAGGAGGAAGGAGACAGGAGACAAGATGATGAAGGAGACAGGTAACAAGATGAGGAAGGAAACAAGAGACAAGAGGAGGAAGGAGACAGGAGACATTGCCAAGACATTGTGCCCAGGGGCCCCTGCAATGAAAATCCGGCCCTGTCTATGGCCAATTTTGCAGCAAGCAGTTCTGTCCCCCACATCGTACCTGCTTTGGGAGGTCTGGGGGTAAAAAAATTAAAGAATGTAGAAAAGAACGAAAAATCTCATTATTAGAACCACTAGGAATTTCAAAAAGAAAGATTAACACCTGAAACTTCATATATTTTTTTAAATAAATCTATTTTATTGCATTTGCTAATTTCTGACTCATAAAATGCACAAATGCACTCATTATACAGTATATGTCGAAGCTGAGCACCATTTCTGACCTATAAACATTTATTTGATGAAAATCTTTTCAGTCATGGAGAGCTGTGAAATGTGTTGCAATAACTCAAAGTCAAGACCTCAACCTGATTTGCATGCTGTGGTTGGATATCAGCAAAGCTGAGGCAAATGTCTGTAAATCTAAATGATGAAGTAACGTAGGTAAAACGGGATCTGGATAGGAGACAGAGAGTGCTATAGAGAACACAGTTACATTAAGTTAAAGCTAGCAAATATGTTTTAGATCTGAGACATAATTATGAGAAACATAAAGCCTACCAAAGATTTAACATGACTGTGCCAATGTATTTATTCTTGCATAAATAGTTCTCAAAACCTTTCTTATAGGCATGTTTCCACTAATTAGGATAATTTTACCAAAACTTCCCGGCACGCACATGTCTCCATTTCACCAGGCCGGCTGAATGGGCTGACCATTCTCAGGAACCAACTGAGTACCTTGTAACGCACCCAAAGGCCAGTATTTACATCACAAATGACCAGAAATGAAATTAATTTGTAGACACAAACATCCAATCTGTCTGGCCTCCAAACAAGAAGCACTGCACGAGGTCTTGTCACCGGATAAAGGAGACATAATAAACCTAGCTACTTTATCTTGGCTGGAACAAAAGTCATGCGGGAGACGAGACCTTCTGCACTCTCACTCTGAATAAAGTTCATCTTCCTTGAATCATAAATTACCTTTTTAAAATGCAATAATTGCATAAGTGTCATATAATCATCTCTTGTTAAATCCCAAAGTGTGTGAATAATGTGTGCATTCAATCAATGATGTGTTAAAATGAATACTTTTCCTGCAATGATTCATTTTAAGATCTTAAACTACACCAGATCAGTATTTGTGGAGTTTACAAGTTCATCTATCAGTATACTCATACATCATAAGATTAATAATAAAACATATTTTAACATTCACTTCACATAAATGTGTAAAAACATTTCCACTTCACACTGAGTTAACCTCTCTGAAGATCTGAGTGAAGGTGTGATTTCTGAGGTATTTTGTTAACTCCTTTTTAAAGTGTCAAATTCCAATTTGTATAAGTGTATAAACAAAAGTTAATAAAAGTTAGAACACTTCCTGATCTAGTCAGTCTTCGCCATTCACTTGATAAGGCCAATTGGATGAACAAGCATTTTGAGACCATTCTCTCTTTTGACTTCAAGGCCACAGTTGCTCTGCAACACTTGCGAATGATTTCAGACACAACAGCTTTATTAAGAGCCACCCAACACCTCAGACAGACATCTAATCTGCAAGCCCTGGTTGCATCTCATTGCCGGTGAAAGCTGCAGTCAAAGGGAGCTACAACTCTTTGGGTTCTCGTGGTCTCGACGTCTGGTGACCTCATCACTCGGGCTGCCTTTCCTCCAGACCACCAGGAGTGAAAGTCATACAAGGGTATCTTAGACACTGCACACTGGCATCGGATGGTTTTATAAATATAGTTTAGCTTATCAAACCATACAGCCAAAATGATTTTATGACCCAGACTTCACAAGCTCAATCTCAGATACTCACAAGATTCTACCAAAACATCTAGCTTCCATTCCATCACTTCATTCATCATCTGTTACCTGTACAACCATTATTTCATTTATACGTTGTCATGTACAATCATTCAGTTAAGGAAAATAGAATCAAAATCATACTTATAAACTATATTCTTGACTCTGTCTGGATACATGCGAAATGTGTGTTCCCTGAATAAGTTCAAGAGACTAAAGTCTTCTGATTAAACATTCAAAGACCAATCAGATTGATATTTCATTTTTATATGGAACATCACATCTTATTGATCATTTAATAAATAAGTAGCTAATCATTAATGCTACAATCTGAACATGGGTAGGTACTCAAGCCCAGCTGAGTTGCTGAGCAGAACTTTTGGTTAACTCAGGCTGATTGGTTCTAACTCAGTAGGAAACGGCATCAGCAGACGTCTCAAAAAATGGTGATAATAAAATTAGAAGAGCTGCTTGTGAAGCAGAATCGAAGCACAAGCAAATAAGCAGCATTCACACTGATTTTAAATCACTATTATTAAATTCCCAACACTGAAAAGCCAAGCTGAAACCCTCCAACAACGACATCATTCACTGGGCTTTGTTTCACAGAGCACCGCAAAAAACAAAGTTTCTTCTGGTCGTTTAGCGCCACACTTTACACCACACAGCAGCTCTCTCTGTCCTGTGAATGGATTCAGTTGCCATACTTTGACAGAATATAACTTTTAATGTTACTGTGGATGCATTTTGGTGCTGGACAACAGCTGAGAGGACCAGGCCATTCTATCTTCCGTCAAATACCAGAAATTACCGTTAAGTTCCAACAATAGAAACATTACTAATCCAGTTGAACCTAAATTATTAAAACTCACACCCCTAATTATCAGCCTATACATTCCAGTGCCAATACATTTGCACAAGTCATTATCAGCTGGTTTTTCTAGCCAAATATTTGTTTTCATTTTTCATTTTCCACCAACTTAACATCAAATGTCATCAGAACAGCCATGTCAGTGGAGTCCCCTGAAGAAGCGACCAACTTTAGTTCCAGAGAACCACTCCCACTAAAAGCCTTCCCCTCCCAAATTCTAGTGTTGTTCAGTTTCAGATCAGTAAGCGTCTCGCCCACTACACTTACTCTAACGGCCCTGGGCACCCGAACCCTAAACTGCACCCAGGAGAGGGGCTCGAGCAGGCCTGCACGAGGCTCAAAGAGAACACAACCTTTTACCCAGGCTGAATAGACATTGGGGAATGGAGGTCTCGGTTGATTGCAGCTGCTCTTTATAACAAAGTCACACATGGGACTAAAATCTCCACCAGGGGTATTGCAAGCATAAAGTCCCAATCGATATACCCCAGGCTCTGGTAGGCTGAGACTGAGGGTTACCTTGCTGTCTGTGTACGTGCAAAATAAGTAACGAGAATGTGGAAAAGCTGTTGTGTTGTTCTCTTTGCTTAGGACATAGTGAAGCTCCAAATCTTGCTGGTTGTAAAAAGTGATGTTACACTTCCCTTGTTGGGTACACACTATGGCTGTGTTATGGCTGAATTTAGACAAACCTGCCTCAGATGTTCTCGTCCCTGGCCCACATGCTGAGCCCAGGTTAGGAGGGAACAGCTCATCTGGACCAGCAATTGTTCCGTTACAGTGCAACAAGAAATTTGCAGCATTTTGAACTTTGACATCAGTTTTTTCATAGTCACGTACAAACACTGACAGTCTGTAAAAACCGTGCAAAGGACACAAAATGTGACAAGTGAGAGTGTCTGGTTGAATTTGAGTTGCCAGGCAGCGCTTGACCAGATCGGCTTCCATTTTTGGGTGGACCAGTTCGCATAGCATCATCAGAGGCCTGGAGGTCTTCAAGGTCAATTCAAAAACACCATCATCCACTTCAATAACCTCACCACCTTGGCTACTGCCTAAAACTCCCAAAGATTTGGCGAAAGGCTGCAGGCCCCAAGACATGTGTGGGTTCACTGGAATGTCCTCTGTTGTCTTTGGGACTGGGCACTCAACTGTAAAGGAGCACACCCAAACCAGAGGTGTGGTAGCTGTTTCAGGTCTTGCAAACAGTTTCACATCATAAAGGCCACTTGCAGGTGGCAGAAGCTGCAACTTCATGCTCCGAAGAGAGACTGTTAGGAGGCCAAACGAGGAGCTGCTTGCCTCTTTCAGCTCTGAAGCTCCACAGTGGAGAAGGTCTTTATGCTGGGTTATCTCATAAGTAAATATGGTTGGTTTGGTGAAGCCAAGGCTCACGTTAGCTTCTCCATCATCTGAGAATCAATGAAAAGGAAATGTTCCCTTCAGGATTGTAAATCAAATTCCTTGTTAACTAAAGTAGCTGAATAATTGTTTATCAAGACTGGGTTAAGTTGGTAAAATCTAAACTTGCTTTTTTCAAAATGATTTTATCAGAAAAATGACTTTATTAAAAGAAACAATATGAATATATATACACAATAATAAGCTATTCTTTAAAATGAAAGAATAAAATAAAATAATGCGGACCTGTTAGAATGTGGAAATGATGAGGTTTTATTAGCCTTAGCCCCATGGTGAAGAAGGACGAGGTCTTGAAAACTCTCCCCTCAAACTCCTCCAGAGGAATGGGCATGTCCAGGAGTTGCCATCGTTCCTCATCTGGGAAGTGAGAATCAATGAACTCCTCTGGGTCGGTTAGGAAATAGAAGTCATCAAACCTTAAATGAAATAGATGGAGTTATGGGACTGGTCTGAAACTGAGTTCTACTGCTAATCAGAGTGTAGAAATTAAAGTGTGAACTGTTCAGTTCAAGCTGATATACCAGGTTGCCCTTTCAAGCTTGGAGCAGATGAAAAGTCTGTCTTGAAATGATAATTTGAATTGTTTTAAAATAATTGTTGTTTTTGGTAAAAGTCTCCAAATGTATAAATTTAGATCCTTTTTATTTTCTCACCTTTTGACAAAGCTTTTGTTATCCAGATCTACCTGTCCAGCCCCCCAGCAGGCGTCCAGTAGGAACCACTGCCCTTCCAGGAGCACAGCGTTCCACAGGTGGTCTGACTTCACCTCCCTCAGACTCTGGCCTTGACGGTAGCCAACGCCTTTACTGTAGCCTGGAACTTCTTGGCACTCTATGTCCATTTCCCTTCAAACATAAAGTCTTTGTATTACATCTTAGATCCTCAAATTTTTATTCACATTAAATGTTTGATTTAGCTGCTGAAAACATCCCAATGAAATGAAATCGTTAACACTTTACAATAACGGTTCCTTCATTAACGTTGCTATTATTGTTTAAGTGTCCTTAAGGTTAGGACAGAGGGATGGGGTGGGGATTGGGGGAGGTGCTTAGTGATGCATTACTACACATGATTCCTTTATTTAATAGCTTACCAATGCTATTAATGCTCTAATTAATGTAAATAAAGGGACCCAACATTATGTCTTGAACTTTGAACATTATCTGTGCAAAATATAACAACTACTTTAATTTGAGTTAGGTGATGTAAAAGGACCATTTTTATTTTGTTTAAAAAAGCAGCAGAAATACATTCTCCCTGAGACAATCCTGACAAACACCCACTTCACAGGGCAAATTCTTACTTTTACAAGTTAAATGATGGATGACTTGCACTTGTATAGCGCCTTTCAGAGTCAGAGGACTTCTAAGCGCTTTACACTACAGTGTATCATTCATCCATTCACACACACATTCACACACTGATGGTGATGAGCTACAATGTACCACTGTTGCCCTGTGGTACACTGACAGAGGTGAGGCTTTCCAAGCACAGGCGTCACCGGTCCCTACGACCACCACCAGAAGGCAGGGAGGGTTAAATAACTTGCCCAAGGACACAACGGCAGAATTCTCTGTCCAGAGCCAGGATCGAACCTGCAACCTTCCAATTACTGGACAACCTGCTCAATCTCATGATATACTGCTGCCCTCAAGTTGTGTCAAACAAACAAATATCTCAAAAGCTACACCTCGGATCTGTCATATTTTGTGTTAGAGGCTGTGTTTGATGTATAACTGGTGCATGGTTTTAAGGTTGCATACAGTGTCGTGGCCAGGCCTTTTAAAATGGGGGAGGAGGAGCACTTGTTTATGCATGGGTGGCACTTATTGTGATCCCTCCCAAAGTCCTTCATCTTTTCATTCTAGAAAATTTGTGAGCTCCACATTGTGTCATGACCTATTTTCTCACTTTTTTTTTCTTCTTCTCAGTGTTTTGTGGTGGTTAGCAAGCCACGTCTTGGTCCAAAACCACCACCAAATGGAGTGGGGTGGGACTAGGACCAGGATTCTAAATACTATGTATGTCAATATGAAAATATAATGAAGAATGTATATATTTTTTTAATGTTATGTTAGTTGGGGCTATAAACTGCTGTGGCATTAATTGCACTAATAGAGCATCCAAGGAGTCTCCACTTCATTTGTTTCGGTAAGTAAAATTATATTTATGTATTTTAGGTCACTGCCGAGCTGAGCTTAGATTTTAACATGCACTGTTTAACCATGAAATTTAAATGTAATAGGGTAAAACCCAGTGCATTTAACATAATGCTGCACTTTAGAAAATGGGTTGAAATGTAACATGTTGGTGGAGCTGGGTTCCGACTATTGGCTTGTGGAGCTCTCGGGAGAACGATGTTTTCCACCCGTTTCTCCCCTCCCTGCAGCCCGGCGCATCTCTGTCTGATCGCAGCTTCTGTCTGCTGCGCGGGCTGCCGGCCGGCTTGTAGTTCTCCCCTCCCCGCAGCTCGGTGCATCTCTGTCTGATCGCGGCTTCTGTCTGCTGCACGGGCTGCCGGCTTTCAGCAGCTTTCGGCAGACCTCGGTGTTCCACCCGGTTTTACCCAGCGGTCAGCCCGGCGTATCTCTGACTCAGAAGCTCCAGTGTTGTGCACAGTTACCTCCGGTTGTAGCTAGGTTGCTACCTCCGTTAGCTTAGCTCCCACCTCCGCATTAGCTATGGGTTAGCTTCAGGTTAGCTTGTAGCTAGTTTGACCGGGTGTCGTCAGTTGATCCCAGCCTTACAGCCATACCCTCAGCTCCATCTCTCTTCCCTTTTGTGGAATTGTCTGGGCTTGACGGAACCTGTGACACGGTCAAAATGGCAGTGGTAGCCCCCTCCCATTTAGCCTAAAAAATGTGTTATTGAAGCCTATAGAAATGAATTGTCCAGTATATATGTTGATGGTTTAGATAGAACTCATTGGGGTGGGACCTGGGGTGCCCAATCAGGTTTCAAAGGTGGCATGTGCCACCCCAGGCTATTCCCTGGACACGTCCCTGGTTGAGCAACCTAAAAAAACAATGTTCCAAGTGATTTTGTCAGTCTAAAGACTGATGATGGACGATACATTTTTGTAGATTTGTACATTTGTAGGCCTGGAACACACTGAAAAAATTGATCCAGTCATAATTACGGTTGTCACGATGTGAAAATGTAACCTTGCAGTTATTGTGACGAAAATTTCACGGTTTTAAATATTAAGTTTTTTTCTTACGTGTTACATTTTCAGACAACTAAATAAATCCTCTATATCAGGAAAATATTGTCCTCATTTTGTGTTTAAAGTTTGACTAAAATTTGTTATTTTTTAATGATGTTGTTTAATTGTTTACATTTTTCTCCTTTAGTCTTTAAAATACCAAAATTTGCCCATTACTCCTTATTTTTTTGTCTGTTTGATGTCATCATTTTAAAAATATGAGATCAGATGATACTCAGTACTCAAATATCCTTCTAATGCTCTTTTACCCGTAGTTGAGTAATTTCTTGGACAGCTACATTTACTTGAGTAAAAGGTTTTGAAGTAGTGCTGCTCTTACTCGAGTACAGTTGTTGGCTACTCTACCCAGCCCCAGCTATGGATCAGGGGAGCCCAAAGTGTTTACCTCAGTGGGACAAAATAAAAATCTATATCTCCTACTCCTATTTATTATTTCATGATAACTATTTGTTGTTGGTCATGTCGAGGGTATTGCATGTACTAATTATAGCACCAGAGACGCGTTATATTTTCAAACAACCAAATAAACCCTCTATATCAGGATTGTTGTCCTCAGTGTGTCCTTCCAGTGAACTTTGCAGATTTGGGAAAATGTCATCAGGCAGCAACCATTGTTAAATTCATCCTCCTTGTCTCCTGTTTCCTTCCTCATCTTGTTACCTGTCTCCTTCCTCATCTTGTCTCCTGTTTCCTTCCACCTCTTGTCTCCTGTCTCCTTCCTCCTCTTGTCTCGTTTCCTTCCTCCTATTGTCTTTTGTCTCCTTCCTCCTCTTGTCTCCTCTTTCCTTCCTCATCTTGTTAGCTGTCTCCTTCCTCATCTTGTCTCCTGTTTCCTTCCTCATCTTGTCTCCTGTTTCCTTCCTCATCTGGTCTCTCATTTCCTTCCTCATCTTGTCTCCTTCCTCCTCTTGTGTCCCGTTTCCTTCCTTCTCTTGTCTCCTGTCTCCTTCCTCATCTTGTCTCATGTCTCCTTTCTCCTCTTGTCTCCTGTTTCCTTCCTCATCTTGTTAGCTGTCTCCTTCCTCCTCTTGTCTCTCATTTCCTTCCTCATCTTGTCTCCTTCCTCCTCTTGTCTCCTGTTTCCTTCCTCCTCTTATCTCCTGTCTCCTTCCTCCTCTTGTCTCCTTCCTCATCTTGCCTCCTGTTTCCTTCCTCCTCTTGTCTCCTGTTCCTTCCTCCTTTTGTCTTCTGTCTACTTCCTCCTCTTGTCTGCTGTCTCCTTCCTCCTCTTGCCTCCTGTCTCCTTCCTCCTCTTGTCTCCTGTTTCCTTCCTCATCTTGTCTCCTGTTTCCTTCCTCGTCTTGTCTCCTGTCTCCTTCCTCCTCTTGACTCCTGGCTCTTTCCTCTTCTTTTTGTTTCCTCTTGTTGTTCTCCTCTCTTGCCTTCAGAAAAACTGCTTTCTGGCCTTTCTATTAGTAAATTCATTTACAATGTCATTAAAGTCCAGATTCCTGACAAGCTGAGATTCAACAGCCAGTAGTGACAGTGCACTGCGGCGCTTTTTAGTTTGTGTTGTTCTCAGTTCATTTTTTATTCTTGCCATTTGTGAAAATCGTTCCCCTTCACAATTTGTTAATGGTAGCAGGCGCATTACAAGCTTTTCAAAAGTGTGGGGGATGTTGTCTGTGCCTAAAATAATTATGTTATTCCTCTTGTTAGTTTAATTTCCATAATAACTGAGCAGGTGCGAACTTTAGACGTGTCACGCATGTCTCCGTTTTAAACGTTAAAACTGTTCAGAATACAAATCCAGGCTCTGTCTCTTTAGAATGGTGCAACTAATTACCAAATTCCTTTGGCAGGATAAATCTCCACGAATTAGCTTAAAAACTCTTCAGAAGACTAAAGACAGAGGAGGGCTGGATCTACCCAACTTTTATTATTATTTCTTAGCCAACAGGCTGCAATATATACCAAGATGGTTGCAAGATAACCCACTTGATGAGTCTTGGTTGGACATAGAGCAGATACTTTGCAATACGATAGAGCTTTCAGACTTACCATTCATTAGCTCAATCATAAGAAAACATGAAGGCTTCAAAAGTATTAGTATCAGCACCTCTCTGACAGCATGGTGGGAGTATCTTAAAATGACAGAGTCTTCACTAATAACATGCAGACACACACCTATCTGGAATAATCCTGATATTTTGCAAAATAACAAAATGATGAACCTGCTGGACTGGCAAAATAAAGGAATCCTATACATCGAACACATATATGAAGGATTGGACTTCATCCCATTTAATAGAATAGTCTCCCAATTTGGTATAGATAAGAATAGCTTTTTAGAATATCACCAAATTAAATCTGTAGTCAAACAAAAATTTAAGCTCAATAAAATAGAATTACAAACACCACCAAGGGTATTAGACTTCTATAATCTCAAACCCCCCAAACTACTGTCTAAAGTATGTAAAACACTGTCCAAAATAGATGATAGAATAGCAATCCCTATTGGAAAATGGGAGGTGGATCTATCAGTCAGCTTTGACCAGATCTTCTGGTCCCAAACTTGTTTAAAAACTTTAAAAATGATCAGACACTCAAATTTACAATTAATTCAGTACAAGATTCTACACAGAGTACACTATACAGGTCATCCAATGTTCAAGGGTC